AGGCAATTCAAGGCCAGCCAATGCCAGAGCAATTTGCAAACACCCGAGCAATTGTGCAGTGCAATGACTGTTCGGCAAAGTCCTCGGTCAAATATCACTGGCTTGGAAACCAGTGTTCAACATGCGACTCATACAACACAAACGAACTCCGTATCCTGAATGGGCCGGAGAGTGAAGAGGTCGCTAACGCGATCCTGGACGCAGACATAGATTCCGGATCGCGATCACCTGTAAGCGTCAGTTCACCCTCGTCCCAAGCCCCGCTTCGTTCGCCTCGATACTATTTTCAACCGGATGAACCAGAAGAGACATGGCTTCCAGGTCAGCTGCCCTCCTTTCCATTTCAAATGCCGCAGTTTCCTGGAAGGCCCCGGATGTTGCAGATGCCTCAGATGCCTCAATTCCCGTCTTTACCAAATTTTCCACAGATGCCCCAGTTCCCGCAAATGCCACAAATGCCACAGATGCCACAGATGCCTGATGCGGCGCAGCAGATGCTAGAGCGGGTCCGCAGGTCATTTGATACTTACCTGAACCCCACGGGAGATATCCGCGCCGAAGACGTACCAATCATCGACTTGGGACATGAGGAACACACTGAGCGCTCGGCTACGGATGGTACCAAGGTTAAAGAACCATCGCTACCTCAATACGTCTTGGAACGCTTTACTCAGTCCCTGGTCCGCTTCCGAAACGATCTGAACCCGGCATTATTCGAGGATATCCCAAACCTGGACTTGGCTGAAGACCACGATCCTGATGGACTGCAGTTTTGGGGCGAAGACGGTGAGCGGCTTAATCGCTTCGTCAGCGGTGGTGATGATGATGATGATGACGACGAGGAAGAGAGCGACAGTGATGATAGTGAGCATTTCGAGGAAGACGAAGAGGAGGATGAAGATGACGATGATTGTGAGGAGATGAAGGACAAGCAAAAGCATGGCAAAAAGGAGTTTGATCTACCAGGTCACATCTAAGGCGCATACGGGTGTTGTGGGCATGATAAAAGTGTGTGCTGTATCGCGTGAGTGGGACGTACTTGTGGCGTTTTGATTGCAAAGTTGGTATTACAAGAGCGTGCGTTGTATTTAGACTCGAATACCCAAGTAATGATACACCATGACTGAACAATAGCTCACCATTTGATGGGATCTTGCCTCACGTGGTTTGGGTGGTCCGTGTGTTTTGCGCTAGGTAAGCGACCACAGCGATTTTCGTGGTTCTGAAATTCCGAATTCTACGCCTCACCTCGCATCCTCAACGTCGACTAACCCCACAGCGAGACCCTCTGTCCGTACGTACCACAATATTCCCATGAGTTTTGTTCTGCCTGTGGATTTTCGGCATTGCTGCTACAGCGCGCGCTGTAGCAGCTGCGGAATCGCAGCTCTGGCAAAGGCTATGCGAGGACCCAATGCTAACGTGATCTCTGTATAGAAATGGCTCCCACCACCAAGTCCGCCGGCAAGAAGTCTGCCGGAAAGACCGGCCGCAGCGCGATCGCTGACGTCGTCGCCCGCGAATACACGATCCACCTCCACAAGCGCGTATGTTGATTCAGTTTAGTGAAGTCCACAGATGGTCTCGCACAAGCTTGGATGGGCGCTCAGTCGGGTCGATGACACAGAACTGAGTGGCCATGCTCGCGCATGCAGGCATCGGGCGGAAGACTGAAGGCGAACATTAGGCTAATAGATTGGGGATATAGGTCCATGGCGTAAGCTTCAAGAAGAGGGCCCCCAGGGCTGTCAAGGAGATCCGTGCTTTTGCTAAGCAGGCTATGGTACGTGGGCACCGAATCTAGTCGGAGGGCAATGTCTGGTGACTGCTGGCATGGCCTCTGCTGGGACATTTTGTGGGATATGGAAGTGGATGCTAATGCTGTATTAGGGCACCAACGATGTCCGCCTTGACCCTCAGCTCAACAAGAAGGTCTGGGAGTCTGGTATCAAGGGCGTCCCATTCCGCCTCCGTGTCCGCATCTCGCGTAAGCGTAACGACGAGGAGGGCGCCAAGGAGAAGCTCTACTCCTATGTCCAGGCCGTCAACGTCAAGGATCCCAAGGGTCTGCACACCCAGGTTGTTGAGGATGCTTAGATGGAATTGCTAAGGGTGGGAATGTAAGATGTGCATATCAAAAGCATGGCGTTCCGGCGGGATATGCTGAGTAGCTACTCATGGATATGTAGAGCGAAAAGCTGGTGAAATGATACCTCAATGACAGATCATGCCCCGCCACGTTTGATGGTTCAACAAAGTTGGATTTTGACCCAATTGAAGCCTTTGCCCAGGTTTTGTTTGACGCGTGATGTGTAGTGTTGGAGTGAAGTTGTGGTGCATGTGGAGATGATAGGTTTTGGGTTGCTACTGCTAACTACCAAGCGCTGTGCAGTAAGTAGTGGGCAATGGAAAGACGGAAGCGAGGGTGTTGACATGGAGGTGCAAGTGTCAGGTGGCGACTCTTTGGCCATTGCCTCGTGGTCAATAATACTGTTTGGTACGCAGTATGTGTACGGGTCGTGCAGGTGAGGCGAAAGAGGAGGTACCATGGATGGTGAAGGAGGGTAGAAAGTCACATGGGGATCTAAGCAGTGGTGTGATGTGTGCAGGAGGCGGTTGCGCTTGTGTTTGTTGTTGATATTTGTCATTTTAAATGTAACTACTTGTTAGACGACTCAAGTATATCAACAGCGAACATCACTGCTGACCTCGGCTGAGGCGCGAAAAACTGGGGGGCACAAGATGACCATGGCGTTTTGTTGCAATCTCCATGGTAGTTTAGCACCAGCACCAGCACCAGCCGCTGGTCCACCTGTGCAAGAGCGGCAGTGGGCCCTTGTACAGCATGTGCTTGTCGATCGGCTGGACATTGTAGTCAGTCGTGTAGTGTAAATAGTAGTTTGTCGGCCCAGGCCGAGAGATGACATGGATGAGGGCAAGCAGAAATGAGGAGAAGGGCTGGCGTGCTGTCTACTGGTGATCCGAGGGCAACCGATCGGCGCGTTGGTTGTGTGGAGAAATCGAACCGAGATTCGTCGTGTCTGGTGATGCTATAGACGAGACGCGACAAGGTGGCCGTCGCCATGGGAGCCATTGGCCTACTATAGCTTTTGCTTGGCAGTTGTTTGCCACCCCTGTTGCAGCAACGGCTCACCCCAGCCAGACACCCTGTGCTCATCATACTTACACACACCAATTACAGCCCGTCTCACCAAGCGAGGCCAGCCGCCAGATGCTGGTCGCAGCCGCAGCCAGGTGTTTGCACGACAAACCAGCCTCGTCCTTGCCCACTCTCTTCAACACGACATGAACGCGGCCACAGACTGCACTCCTCGATCCATGTATACACAGCCACCGATACAACGGCTTTTTCGAGTCCCTGGGTCATCAGTTCACCCCACATATTTCTAGTGCTGCATTAGCACGCGGTGCCCTTGTGATAGAAGCGAGTATTGGATAGGAGGCGACAACGTCCATGCGGCAAGGGAAAGGGCCTCTTGGTGCATTGAAAATCCCTAATTTTGGGGGTTTGCAGCCGACGCCCTAGGCCGATAGAGTGCCAGGTAGGCTCCGACGGCGCCTCCGCCAATCTCTACCGCGTTAGCTCGCCTGACATGGCGCAGGGAAAGTGCTGGGAATGCACTGTTGTTTCTAGCATCGCACTAGTTCCGGCGAGGGCAAAAGGGTGGGCTTCACGGGTATTGGATGTGCGCGCGTGAATGGGCAAAGACAGGAAAAGGAAGGGGAAAAAAAGGAGCTAAAGCCAAGGTGCATGCACATGTCGTGTTCGTGCGCTGTCGACCGAAGAGGTCTGGTCTGAGAGTCTCTCGCCGTGCCGGGGGGGTTGGCGCCAGAGCATATGTTTAAATGTCTCCCCCAGACGGCCCTCCCGCCTGGTTATCCCCCCTCCCCTCGTTGCTGCTCCGTCGTTGTCGTCGTCTCACCAAAAAAAATTAACCTAATACCCCATCATTCGCTCGGGGTTCCTCTCGCTTTTTACAACTTTATAATACTCTTTTAATCAACACAGGCGTCGCTGTTTCCGCGTTTCCTCCCGACCCTGCAACCTTTACGTTCGAGTCGAATAAAACATCAAGATGCGTTTCTCCACCGCCGTTGCCGTTGCGCTCTCTGCGTCCGTCAGCCTTGTCGCTGCCCAGGACAAGTGCGATGCTCAAAAGTACGTCAATCTGGCCCCATACGCGTCATGGCTCCCAGACAAAAGACGAACCCAGACTAACCTCCCCAATCAGCATCGTCGACACGTGCGTTGCCGGCTACCAGTCGCGCATCGACGCCTGCAACAAGAAGGGCAATGACTTCATCTGCCTGTGCGACGTCTACCGTGACGTCCTCGTCTGCTACAACAACTGCCCCGACTCGCCCGACAGGCCCCCGGTTGAGAACACCGTCACCTCGTACTGCAATGCTGCCGAGCCCCTGCGCGCCGCTGCTTCCAGCTCCATGGCTTCCGTTGCTAGCGTAGCCGCTACACAGTCCCACGCCTCGGCTACCAAGACCAGCGAGCCTACTGCTACTGGCTCTAGCTCCGGTTCGGCCAGCTCTACTTCCCCAACTGCCCCTGCTTTCTCTGGTGCTTCTGGTGCCGACAAGAACAGCATCAAGGCTGGTGCTGCTCTTCTTGCCCTCGTCGGTGCTGCCGGACTTTTGTAAGAAGTGAGTGAGAGGTCAGAGTTTGAGAGGGGGTGACGTTTGTGGGTTGGAAGTGTGGATAGGATCAATTTCAATCAGGGAGAAGCATTTGCTACGCCTGTTGGATCACTGTTTTTTTCCCTGGTCTTTTGCCGTGTCTTTCTTGCTTGTGATTCTTGTGCATTACATTTTTGAGCCTTGCGTGAAACAGATATCACTCTCTTTTTTTTTTTAACAAAGTAAATCTATTCTGTGCCTCATCACAAAAGCAGACCTGCGCAGAGCAACTGATAATAAGTATCCTGACCCCATATATCAAGTCATCCATGTCATATGTCCTCTCTTGTTTACTCTTTGATCCTCCCATCCTTGACCATCTCCCTAATAGCATCAATACTCGAATCCACCGCCTTTTTCGCCATCTACATCACAACGGTTAGCTTGTTGCACTTTCCCCACAAAAGGTCACCCGGTTCTCCGCATCTTCCCCCTGCTCTTCCTCTTAGGTAATTCTCCAGCCCTCCAACCCTCCACCCAAAAAAAAGTTATTTTTTAAAAAAAGAAAGAGAAAAGTAAAAAGAAAGTAAACTCACCCCCTTGAGCTTCGCCAACTCCTTCTCTGCCTCTTCGGTCCCTTCCTGCACATTAGGCAACCGAAACTCAAACACATACGTCATATGCAGATCCTCGACCTCGCCCGATGCACCATCAGAAATGATATTGCGAATATGAGTTCCATCTTCTTGTTCGAAATCGACCTAAAAACCCACACAGACACACATCATCTCTCATTAGCCCGTCATGTCCCCTTGCATCAAACACCCAGGATACAAGGTGAAAGAAAAGACGAGATGATATATAAAGAAGAGAAAAGAGGATGATGATGATAATGATAAAGAAAGGGGGAGAGAGGAATGAATTATAAGAGAGAAAAAAAAAATACACGTACCCAAGTCGGCCAAAACCCCCTCACTACCTCGCGAGCTGTATCTTTCGGTCCCATGCCCTTTTTAAACACAACGTCACGCGTCACCACGCCATCTGCGCTCTCCTCGAGCACCGTGCACCTCTCAATCACGGGCACGAATTCCTGTGCAAACCGGATTTTGCGCTGGAGGCCAGCCCAGAGTTGGGCTTGCGTAAGGACCGGTGTGGCGCCCGCTGGGTTGATTCGCGAGGTATGCGCGAGGTTGAAGTTGACCATTTTTCTTTTCTTTTCTTTATTTCTTTTCTCCTTCTTTTGTAGAGTTTCTTTGACTGTATATGTAGAATCTTGGTGGGGTAAGCACCTTTTTTTTTTTTTTTGTTGTTCTTGATATTGCGAGTGTTGATCGTTTCTTTGAAGTTGGGGGAGGGGTGGCGGGGGAAATAGATTAGCAGGAGAAGATCCTGTTATGGAGGTGGAGGTGGACGACGATGATGATGATGAGAAATAGCAACAATGAACATGGATGATGCAACAACTATATACCTGCATTTCAACTCCTCACATCANCCCCGAGTTGCCGAAGCGCGAAGATAGATAAGCAAAGACCCATGAGCTAAGCAAGGCGTTTCGATCCTTTCCATTCTTCGGCTCCACACAAATGCCGTCCGAAAATATGCATGCCCCAGCTTGATTTTGGATCTTGCTTACACAACCCCTCGCTGTTAAGATGTTACCGAATGGCGCCCCCCCGCAACTCCATGTTTGTCATACACGTACACACAAACACAATATCCATGCATAAAGTGACTAGTTTTCTACCGCCAGAGAGGGGAATTGGACAATGTACAAAAAAAAAGTCTTTTTTTCCGTCAACAATAATCGTTATTCTTCATATTGACCACGCGCTCGGTGTTACCAAAAAAACAATAAAAAGCGCTACCCTTCCCTCGTCCCATCTCAAAACATCCCCAAAAACGCCCATGGAGCACTTGCATGTCCTCGCAAGCCTACGACATATCCTCCCTCCCCTACAATGCAGTAAAGCGAGCCAGGTCAAATAAAGTGCGGAAAGCTGAAGAGCATCATATACGATCCAAAGAGCGCCCATTTTTTTTCTTACTCGCCAGACTAATTGAAGCTCTTTTTTGGATTTCGCGTATTTTGTACATTGGCATAGAAGCCAACAGAGGTCTCCCCCGAACCAAGGACCGCCATGGCGGTTCATGCGCAATATCCCAATGAGAAATGTGTGGTTTTTACTCCTGACCAAAGCCAACGGTTTCTTCAACAGCAATGGTGAGTTTCTGGTTGAGTGCCTCATATGTCTTGTACGGTGGTAGATCGAGACGGTTGAAACTGTTAATCTGGTTAGCTCCTGTCATGTTGCAATGTTTGCCCAATCGACATACCATGTGTGAGACTTTGGCAGTTGGTTTGGCTCGCCAGCCTTCTCGATTGTAAACCTTCTCGGGCCATCACTACCCTGCAAATCCTTGAATCCGTTGACGGGAATACGCGATGTACCCGTGGCGAACTGCAGCAGACGAGACTTTTGTTCCGCGTCCCAGCTGCGAATGCACTTCCAGAAATTTTGGATAACTTCGTCATTCTCGGTGTAACCACGGTAGTCGGTGTGCTTCTTCCAGTCATCCACGTCGATGTCTGCTATACCACCGATAAGCAACTCGAGTTCACGTTCGTCGAAGACGTTGACGAGGTCGGCCGGGATCAGCTCGTGGAAACCAGTGATGAAGGCCTGGAATTGTTCCTCGACGCGCTTTTGGATACGCCATTCTGTGATCAGTCTAGTGTGGTGGTCAGCATCTTTATCTAGCAAAAAGTTCAATCAGGGTCCACATACTCGACGTATTCGTGCTTGTTCTCGTTCGTGACCTCGATATTTTCACCTCCAGGCTTTAGCTCAATGCTGACGGTCTCACCAAAGCGCTCGTCGTCAGTTGAGAATGTCAGTTCCAAGGCGTCTGTAATGTCATTGTTCCTGTTATCCCGTTAGTCTCGAATCATTGCCAAGTAAAAACTAAAAATTGCAAGACTTACAGCATCCACTCCAAGTTACGATGGAAATCGGCATCTACACCCTCCATATCCTGTAGTGAAACCTTCTTCTTAAGGATCATCTTGTAGAACGCTCCAATGAAGAAGGCATCTAGGAAACGGCGGTGGAAGATGGCCAAACCCACGACACGACCAATAAACTTGAAGTAGTTCAAGTGCTCAGGGTTGATACCGGAGTGCGGGTTGATCTGGAGAGTGTAGTTGTCATGTGCAGAATATTCAAACAAACAATAGAAGGGATTAAACATCTCATGGGAGAGCAAGAAGAAGAATTCTCGAGAAAGACCTCCGTAATCAAGACCGTCTTCACCATCGAACTTGATCATCAGTCTCTTCTTGAGGTCGGCAGCGCTCTGCCGCATGATCTCGTGGTAGGAATCCTCGAAAATATGCGATCGGCGCACCTTGACGTGACATTGACCACTAACAATGCGGAGCGCTGGCTGCGACCTGAAGTAGATGAGCTTGCGACGGAAATCGCGCTTGTACTGAGGCACATTCTGATCCAGCGAAGAAGGTAACCTTGGGTCGTCCCATGTAGTAGTCTTTGTGTTGTGGTCCACAAAGTACACTCTTGCTGTGTTGGTGAGACGCATTTCCCACCCTGAAGGCAGTGGGCCAAGCTGGGAAACGGGCTGCTGCTGAATGGTGCTGCCGTTGGCAGCCTGACCGCCATACATGCGGATGTATTGTTGTCGGCGAGGATCCACCCATGTTGTCGTTCGCGTGTTGTGATCAACAAAGTATGGTCGGCCTTCGGGGGTATGACGCTGCTCCCAACCAGACGGAAGCTCTCCTGTACCAGCAGTGGTTGCTCCCGTTGCCATCATGCTCGCGGCATTCGCTGCCGAGCCGCTGGGCGGTGATGGCTGGCGCTCAGTCAGGGTCGGTGAGTTGGCGCCTGTTCGGTCCTCTGGCAACATGCGGTTCTGATGTCGCATGCGCTCCTGCTGCGTCTGCGCTGCTACATCCCGGCGCTGGTCTGCCTCGTTGAAACCCGCGCCTGGTCTGATCCATGTAGTTTGCCTGGTGTTGTGGTCGACGTAATATGTTCGTCCCAAATGATCTTCACGGCGCTCCCAACCATTCGGTAGTCTTCCTTGCGCATCCTCGAAAGCGCTGTATGCGGCACCGGCACTGTTGCGAGCTGGAGGCGCTCCGTTGGGTGCAGGCCCAGGCCCCGCAGGTGGACCGGCCGGTGCACCCGCCGGAGGGGCTTGGCTCTGACGCTGGGGAGCAGCTTGACTGGCGGCCGAGGCTCGATTGCCTGGATACACATCGGGAGGATGGAGGTTCGAAGTCGAGTGCTGTGGGGTAGAGGCAGCGCCGGGGATGGCGCCGTTGGTGGATGGGTGCGGGGAGGCATTCGGGCGGGTACCATGATGGGTTCCTTGGCTGATGGGCGTAGATAGATTAGTAGACAGATTAAGAATGAGCTTGCCATGGACGACCATGTTATCGTTGGACTTTTTGAGATCGCGTGTGAGCATCTCTGGATTCGAGTTAGCAGGTGCGCTCAGTGCCGAAAGGTCCCATCCTACCGTCTCCGCCAGCGTCAAGATCTATTACCGACCCGATGCGGACGTTGATGACACCCAGGAAGCCCTGGTCCTTCTTCTTGAACTTCTTCTGGTCAAATATTTGAACCGCCAGGACGCTTTCTTCGTTCACTCTCCTATCCCGTATGTTAGTGTCGAGCGAAAGCGTACGAGGGGGTGTGGTTGTGGCGGGGGAGGCGTGTGACGTACATGTCGAAGCTCTCATTCCAGTAGGGGTTCAGCGTCTTCTTGATGACGCTCGTGGTGCGCGTCTGCTCGCCATTGATGGTGGCTACGGCGAAGGGGTCGGGAAATCCTGTGGGACATGCATCAGCGACGCGACCAAGGCCGAGTAGGTGAGGGCATACGTACGGAACACATCGCGCTTGTAGAGTCCATCAGCGGCGATGACTGCATAGTGTTAGCGTCCAGCAAAGCCTGGAGGTGGGCGTGTCGTCGGGCCAGAGGTAAGACGTACTGGTGATGCGCAGGTTGGGCTGGCCTGCGCCGTCCATGATGCTGGTGATGCGCAGTGATGCAGCGCAGGATCAAGGCACAAGGAGCAGCAGGACACGGGGCGAAGGCGTTGCGAGGGGAGGGGCGCGGCTCTCAGAGCTCGCAGAGGTGAAAAGAGAGAGAAGGGGGGGGGGGGTGGGGGTTTGGTGTGGTGGTGATGTTTCGCCTTGGTTGGCTCGCTGGGGGTGACGAGGGTGGTGGTGGTGCTGGAGGAGGCTGTGCGTAAGGAACCGGCCGTGCGCCGCTGCAAAGGCAAATGCGACTGGCTTGAGGGTCGTGCCCGGAGCAGATCGGGCGACGGTGCGAGAGTAAGGGCTTATTCAGGGTTGTGTAATTGGGTGTGTGTGGCTCTGCGAGGGCAGCAGGAGCAGGCAGTAGTCGGTGGATGGTCGGCGGAGAGTGTGCCTGGCCTCGCTCGTGGCGGCTGGCGTGATGTTGGGCTTTGCTGCTGCTGCTGCTGCTAAGGGCAAGGGCTGCGATGGCCGGAAGGTGCCTTGGAGTAGGCTTGGCGCTTGCCCCGCAGACACGCCGGCCGATGCGAACTGGTGGTGACGGGAGGGCCAATGCTACTTACCCACGCTCACGATACAGACAGACGGCGAGGCAGAGCAGTGCTGCACCGGGCCAACATGCCCCCGTCTGCTTCAGTAGTGTACCACCGCCAGCCCGCCAGCACTGCGCTCCCCCTCGGGCACCATCTGTGCGTGGGCTGTCAAGTTTCTGCTCGCTCCCAAGATGCATCGTGTCGATGATGTCAAACCCAGGCCATGGCAGGCCCAGCGCCCACCAACCCGTCTACGGCATCCATGGCCCCAGATTGACCGCAGTGCTGCGCGGCCATGTCCTGCATGTCACCGCTTTGCTGCTCCAGCCGTGTCCAACCCGCTGTCGACGGCCTCTTGGTACGCCTCAGCTCTTGTTTCGCGGTGCTGGGCGCTGCTCCGTCCCAGCACACGCCTCGTCGGCATGGGATCAGATGACGGCTGCCTCAAACGCATTGCAGACAAGTCGTCCAAGCACCCCCAGAGCCCGTCTGTCCTTTGCATTGGGATTCGCCGGCCACTGCTCATGCGCCACACCCAGCCCACACCCGCCACCGCCACCGCCACATCGCCCCTCTACTATCCGCGCCTTCCGCCTTATCGTCCCACACTCGGACTCGGACTTGCTGATAGCCCGCCGCCAGCTCAACAATACCACACATCCTGACACGCACCAAACAAACAAAACAATCAACAATGCATTCAGTACCTGTTAACCCCCCCAAGCCCCAATGCTCGCCAGACTCCTCGCTGTTGATGCACCTCTATTTTTTGTACATGGCCAGTGTACCCTACTCCCGGAAACTATCCCCAATCTCCATTTTCCTCATACCTAGCAACGCCCTAACCTTGAGATATGTCTCGTACCCACTAAGCTGCATCTCCACCCTCATGTACCTCGTCCATGCCGCCAACCAGTACAAAAAGTTGGTGGGCCACAGGATAGATCCCCCGAGCTTGTCCAAGCACTCCTCATATACCGTGCGAGATGCGTACCGAGCAAGAATAAGAAACGTGCGCACCGGTCCCTGGCGCGTGTGCAAGCCCTCGTCAAGCGAGCGTGCTAAATGTCAACCGTCAGAAGACTCTTCAGAAAAAACCCCCCCCCGTGTCGTGATGCAAATGCAAATGCAAAAAACTTACTCAAATCGTTCGTCTTGAGAATAAGCAGAATGACTCTCGGCACTTGGCCCAGCAGTTCAATCAGATTCTCAATCAGCCCTTCTCCCAACGCATCTCCAATCACCTTCTTCTCCTCGCTTGTCCTCGATGTCATGACACCCCCACCCCCATTCTCCTTCTTTGCCAGTACCGTGTAATCACGACCCGTAATGGCCGATGCAAAAAGCGGAAAATGTTCATCCTTGATACCCGCGACTTCATATGCATATTTCCGCATACCCGCCTCATCCGCGTCCAGCACCGCGAGCCAGAGCTTCGCATAGCTGCGTCGTATCGGCATAGGGATATCGCGATACAATCCGTGGTCGTAGAGAATAACGTCGAAGTTCTTCTTGCCGCCTCGCGCAGGGTTGTGCCGAATAGCAATGTTTCCACCGTGGGGATCGCAGTGCAGCGGTGCGTCCTTGCCGAAAATCATCTCGTTGAATATACGTGCCAGTGCCGCGGACACCTCATCCCTATCAATGCCATGCTCATCCAGGCTCTTGAGATCGTCGGTCCGGAATCCAGACACGTATTCCATGACCAGCAGCCGTCGCTTGGCCCAGAGCACCTCGGGTATGATGACTGGTACGTCGCGGACGTGCGAAAAGTACTCGCGTGCTCGCATGGCGTTCTTGCCTTCGAGCGTGAAATCCAGCTCTTTGGGCAGAGATTGCTCCATCTCGTCGGATAGCCATGTGAGATCGTACTCGGGGAACCAGCGCTTAAGCGTGGCAAAGGAGAAACTCGTCAGCGCCAGATCGAGCCTGGCCCATTCGTCCAACGCAGGATGCTGCACTTTGACTGCCACTTTTTGCCCCGTCTCACGCACTGTAGCCCGATGTACTTGCGCCAGTGACGCGGCGCCAATCGGCCGCTCCTCAAACTCAGAAAAAAAGTCAAATAGCTCCAGACCCGTGTCTTGCCGGCACATTTCCTGTATCGATTCGAACGACGAGACTGGGCACTGGTCTTGTAGCGGGATAAACGTATCACACCATTCGTTGGGGAGGAGATAGTTCATGCTGCTGAGATGTTGGCCCAGCTTGACGAATATCGACCCGTTCTTCTCCAGAGTGCGAAGCGTGCGTTTGGCGCATCGAAGATGGCACGCCTTGAGTTGTTCATTGTAATCTGGCTCGTCGTCGCGCTTGAGTACATGGCGGTAGCTGTGCAGAAAAGAGTGGCATTAGCTACCGATTTTTTGGGGTCCCATAGAGGTTACCGCATTCCATGGAACATACTCTCTTATGTTCAGTACCAGCGTCGAAACTACCCGGTAACTCCTCTGCGCAGCTACGTAGACGTGTCTGGCATCTTCATTGAAGGTCACGGCTGCTGTGCCAATGACGAGTCCGCTTCCTATCAAGACCAGTTGTCTCCGTCTCTTACTGCTCTTTGCATTCCTCCCCACAGCTTTGGCAGTAGCATTCGCAGCCGTACTTTCACTTGCAAATGCCCTCTGCGCGCCAATGCCTCCCGCAAAACCATTGTGTCCATCACGCGTGCCCCGTTGTTGCCATAGACTTTGCCGTTGCGGGATTCTCGTCGTCGTCGTCCGTCGTTGTGATTGTATACAAGCTCGGCACGTCCACGTCCTGCGGAGCAATGGACTCGAAAAAGCGCTAAAAGTCGACATCATGTGCGCATGGCCGGCGCCGTGGGCAGCATGGCAGGTGGAGTGGCGTTCAAATTGAGAAAAACATCAAGAAAAAAGCTCAACCGCCTCACGGCAACCCATCCGCTTCCAGCCACAATGTCGTTCGGTCGACATTTTTCCATTGAGACGTAGCGCCGAATCAGAACGCCGCAGACGCAAAGACCCCCGGTCGGCCTTGCAGCTTGCGGCGACCATCCACACTACCGAACTGCAGCTTGCCTGCATCTGCACCCTCGCACCACACCACACCACATCACATCACGCATGCACACATGCGTACTACTGCACAGTACATACGTACCTACAACCCCATACACTCCCTCCCCGCATATTTGAGCACATGACCGCTTCGCAATGTACGTAGTAAAACACTCAAGTCAAACGTTATACAACTAGCCCTCCTCCCAAAGAGTCCACCATTAGCCTTTTGGCTCTAAACGGGTATAGCCGCCTCTACTCCGAGTATCAGCCCGCTATTCAAACGCCAAGAACACTTGTCTACCGTCTTTGTCACCCCGCCATCGTCAAGTTAGTAATTCGTCGTTATTTCGTACGTTTCGTCGTGAAACGGGCCCCAGACACTAATTCAGCACAAGCATACTGCCGAGATTCACTCGGCAGTCCCTTGTCTGCCCCCTTTCCCCACAAAGCCCTTTACCACATATCCTTGTTCACATGTCAATCGTTTCGTTAAAGCAGAGCACACCGTTTCCCTTCAGATATCCGTCAACTCCCTCGGGTGTGGTTTGCCGGCGTGGATTTGCGACATGTAGGTTTCCAGGCTGCCCGACGTTTTCGGCGGGGGAATCCGTGATGTCTGTTACGAGAACGAGGCCGGCCGTCTTTATCGACTCGATCAGTGCAGGGGCAAGCGACTAGATACTGTCAGCTGTCGAACTTGTCTTCCATGACAAAATACTCACCAGCAGACGAGAACTGCATATCAAACCCATGAAATTGTTGTCTCTTGCAATTTGCACTGCCTCCTTTACAGATATTCTTGTGCGACCGCTGCTCAGGACAATGTGCGTACTTCCCGAAGGCGATCGAGAGCTGTCTGCGCCGAGCTCGTTGCAAAGGAGAACTGGGTCTATACCAAGATTAGCAGCCGCCATGCAGACACTTCTTGACTAAACACTTACAATTGGGTTGCTTCCAGTTAATCACTGTACAGATATCCTGATTAAAGGAGCTAAAGAGCACACTCCTCAGTGTACTGTCAATCTCGCCTGCGCCCTGCTCTCTCAATTGGCGTGCGTGTTCGAAAACGACAGACAATATCTTGTCTGCAAAAGTGTTCATGTCAAGTGTTGGCCCTAGCTTGAGGCGTTCCTCTTCGAGTTTGGACGGGAACAGGACGTGCAACTCAACATGGATGTGAGCTGGAAGTGCTGCCAAGGCTTCCTTCAGGGTGATGAATGAAGATGCCATGACCTGGTAGATGTTGGGTATATCCTCTGGGCTAGCATTACTGAGCTCACTGGCAAGCTGATCTGCAGTTGTGGCGGTTTGCTGAGCACCAATAGCAGCAAATTGTGCATGTGTGAGGATGTTAACCGGAACTTCAAGGCCATGGTGGTTGACTTTCCACTGTGGATGCAGTACCGGTATACCGTCGGCAGTCAGTTGAACGAACAATCGGACATACTCACCAGATAGGCTTGAACCTGTGATGAGAGTATGAGGCTGCGAATCGAGCTGGCTCGTGGCCTTCCAGTATGTGGCAAAATGAGTAATCTCCAGTGGGATACCGTGGAAGGGCTTGACAACTTGAAAGTCAAAAGTAACTCTGCCAATTGCGCGAAGCCTGGGGTCGAAAAGCTCAAGATGCCATCGTCCTGTGCCTTTGGAACGCTCCGTAAACACCTTCGAGGAAGCTACACTGCGTGCAATGACCTTTGATCCTATCGTAGGGTATACATCAAAGTCGATGGAGAAAGTATCCAGGTTCTCGATTTGGAATGAAATGACTTTGAACTCATCTTGTATAGGTAACAGGATGTTGCGTGGTATGAGGTCGGAGCTTTTTGACGAGATTGTCAGTCTTGCGGCTGGGTATTTGGACTCGTCATAGAAGCGGATCGCATCTTTGCCAATCTTCTCGAAATTGATAACAACAAATGTCTTGGTGTCTAGGAAGTTGTGTCCATATCTCCGGAATGGGATGATGGGAGGGGGCAGGATAAACTCGGGGATGCCGTCAGGGTCGCCCTCAATATCCATCGCTGTAGGCATCGAGCTCGACAGTTGTGATGGGATCTGCGGAGAGGCTTGTTTCTGTGTCATCAATCCAACACCACGCCCTACAGAAGCAAGTAGTGTCATGCACTCAATGTGACCTTCCCATGTTGCGTAGTACATGGCAGACAGGCCCTTCTCGTCCACAATGTCCACATCGACTCCGCATTGCAGTAATGTCTGCAGACATTCTACATGTCCTTCACTTGCCGCGTGGAACAGAGGCGTCCATTGGTAGAGTTTGTCTGTTTGGTTGAGATCCGCACCATATCTCTGTAGCAGGAGAAGCGCCTGTGGTGTCTTTCCCGACCTTGCCACCAAGTGTTGTGGAAACAGTCCCTCTGCATCTGGTAGCATCTCGGCAGATCTCTTTAGAAGAAGCTCCAGGATCTCTAGCGACGCAAATTGGCATGCGAGGTTGAGTGGCACATGTTCTCCGGGTCCCAGGCGAGTAAGATCGGCGCCTCGTGATAGGAGAATCTCTACACAGGCAAGCTTCGAATGCACGATTGCATGAATCAGTGGTGTAAAACTGTCTTGGTCGCGAAAGTTTACCGTATCCGGGGCGGTGCTGATGAGTTCTTGGACCAGCTCGACATAACCATGCATGCAGGCATAGTGCAGTGGTATCCTGCCGTACACGTCCGTCGCATGAGCATCTACATTGCTTGCAAGGCCAAGTCTGAGCACCCCAATGCGTCCGCTGATTGAAGCTTTGTGGAGACAATTCCGCTCATTGATTTCGTCTTCTTGTGCAAGATTCACAAGGTTTGAATCAAGAAGGATTTTCAGCGTAGATTCTGGCGCTTCTGCGACTGTGCTCAGGAATGCCCTTGAAATTTGCTCGCGCGCGTCAGGAAGTGTGGCTAGGCGAGCAAGACATTCTTGAGTCTTGCCTTGGTTACCGGTGTTGATGGCCTGAACGAATTGGTTATCGAGCTCGATCTTGACGTCGAATGCAGGTTCCGAGAGGCGTGCTTCAGCTGCAGGATGAGGTGCTTGCACCCCCTCACCTTCGGCCCAACCAGAGAAATCAAAAAGCGCCTGAGTAGCTTGATCAGAAAGTGTGCTGATAACTTCTCGGTTGAAGCATGGTTGGACTTCGACGGCGCGCGCAAGGTACAGCTGTTTTTCTCTCGACTATTACTGACGTCAACCAGCGCCCAAAAGTCTATGTAGTTTGGCGACAGACCTTTGATGTTTTGTCCCACTAAGAAGAGTTAGCAAAGTCAGGTCATCGGCGTTGAGAAACAAGGTACAGCACACCTTTTTGAGGATTTTGGAGAAGGCAGTTTCGTTCACTTCGACAAATTGCTAGAGTCAGGTCAGTTTCGGCAAAAAAAAACCCCCCTTACAAATGCACGTGAGCCAATCACCTCGAGTTTGTTGAGATCCATGCTAAACTGTTTTAGTCCCTCCTCTAGAGCAACATAACGCGAAGATGTCTTTGAGACAGATTGCGGATGCTGCTGCATCACTCTTTTCTTGTCCAGAAGGGTGGTCAAGCGTAGACGTAACTGCAAGCATGGTGAGCAGATGTCGATGCACAATCTGTGCGACGTACCTCTGCCTCTTTTTGCAAGTAAAAGGTATTGACCTTTTCGAGTTCACGTTCCTGTTGCCATTGTCAAAATTTGACCTAGCAATTGCAAGAACCAACATGGCCTACCACTCTGAAGAAGAATGTGGCCTTGTTTGCCTGTAATGAGGTCTGAGGATCGAGCAAATCATGATTGCTTCCTTCGCTCAGTGGTGGTATGACTGGAGTGGCGCTGAGTTTCTTGATAAGCTACACAAAGCCCTATCAGCTACCATGTTGTGGAAAGAAGGGCAAAAAGTAGAAGGACCTTCTTGAGCGCTTTGTAGTCGACAAAGCTAGCGGCATATTCTGGGATTTCCAGTTGCCTTTTCTGTATGTGCTTTCCGAACTTCCTGGTGAAACGTGCAGAGTCAGTGGTGTCTTCCTTGGATGCTAGGCTTGTTGACGAGGCCTTTTTGTTCAAGACCACCATAGGGCGGGGTTGGAGGGTGTCCATACGAGGGGGAAGACGTACATTGTGCTAACAGTGAGTGAAAAACCGGCGACTGTGTTCTCGAAGCCTCACGGCAATGCGCGTATGATGCACAGGCAATGGATGCTGGTCCAGATGGCGCGGTACAGATCTGACCATACAGGTTGTGCCGAGACAAGCGTGTGGTCGTGCAACAAACGGCTATTCGGCGGTGGGGCCTGAAAACAAGGACAAATTGAGCTGAGGGTCAGTGGTGACAGCCCTGGCAGTGGCCGTGCGTAGTGTGGTCAAGCAAGTTGGCAAAGTGAAGTCATTCGGGATGCGGCTGTTGACAGCCTGCAGAGAAACGAATCAGTCCAGAGATGGTTCTAATCGGGCAAGTATTGGCAGGTGCCGAGCAGGGAGCCGGGCGTTCAGCGAGGAGCCGGCGGCTTGTTCTTAGAGGGCCACGAGACGAGGTTGAGCATACGCTGGCAGAAGATCCAAAGAGGCCATGTCGTTCACACGACAGGTGGTGTATTGGCGAATCAAAGGGCGTATAGCCGCCACGAGGTTGGACAAGTGCTCGCGCACTGTCGAGGGCGTTGCTCTGCCAGGGGCCCGAATTCGGTTGTTCTGCCGAATGGTAGCGCCCTCATCCGGTTACGTAAGGGCAGGTGCTGCCACTCTTTGGCTCAGACAGGCATCTCAACCGCCTCCCACATCACCGAGGCATGCACAGCGCTCCAGCCCGACCCGCGGAAAAGCAAAACAAAAGGGACCCTCGTCTCTGCCATGCTGCGTCATCACGTCGCCGAATGGTCAAGGCGCACTACACTGCTTGTGTACATGTACAGCTGCACAGTGGGACGGCCCGGCTGCACGGTCAAACGCGCATACGCAGCAGCCGCCAGACAGGCATCGGGGAAATCATTGTCGCACGTACTTAACCATGTTTCTTCTTCACTTTCGAGACGACGTTGCCTTGCACGCCACCTGCAACGTCCCGTCTCCTTTTCTTTTTTTTATCTGTAATCCAAGCCACGCTACCTCCAGGCCAGCCATGTGTCCATGCATCAAACGAACAAATGAAAGGTCTATAGGGTATTAGACCACAACGATCCCATTCCTGCTTGCCCGAAACTCTGACGGTGCATCAAATTGCATGCTTCGCATCCAACCCAACATCATCACCGCCACTTTTTGCGTCCTCCACAGTTTACCCCTACAGTCGCTCACAATCCATACATGTCCCATCCATCCAGGTCATTCGAGCGCTTACTGCTTGCAGACTCGTCGGGAGCGCCTTGAGCGTCGTAGGGCGTACGTGTAGCCACGTTTGCTTCCAATTCGACGTCAAGTCACAATTCGTCATCGTCCATCTCCGACGGCTTCAGCAGACCGCCGACCTTCATGGCACGCTCACGCTCCTGCTCCTTGGCCGTCTTGGCCGCTTGCTCGCGTTCTTCGGCGTAGAGCTCGGCATTGTCCCCAGAGAACTCCTTCAAAGAAATCAAAAAGTCTCGGAGGATGACCTTGAACCGGTTCAGGTCCGAGTTGGTGGCAAACAATCCGTCAATGAACGATGCGATTTGGGCACTAGCACATGTTAGTAGATGCTGCAACAAACAACAAGAGCAACGTACGTCTGCAGGTTGGGGAAGGCTGTTGCCAGCAGGTTGCCAACAAAGTTTCGCAAGAATTCTCGGTTTGGTGTACCTGCTGGTGCCATATCCGGTGATGTGTAGATTGGGCCTTGAAGCTTGTCCGAGTCGACAAGCCAGAACAACTTGGCCAACAACATTGACTGTGACTTGAAACCAGCCTTGT